CCATTAATTATCATAATTTTTTTGGTCCATTTGTCAATTATACCATAATATATAGATCCCTTTCACAGTAGAAAAACTATTAACTTTATTTTATATACGTCCAAGTTCATAGAATCTCACGAAAATAAATTCTATGTTCAGTGAATTTTTTTTTGTTTACTGTTGGAGTTTTTACATCCACCATGAAAAAGTTACCATGTCAGCTAGAAAACATAGAGCTTTCCAATTCCGGAGTAGATCTAGTTTGCTCTCGATCGTGTGTTTGTAACAAGGTAGCTTTGTTCCGAGGAGTTGCTGACAAATTAGGTCGGCACTAACCTTGCTTACCGCCAAAAAAAGTGTCAACCACTCTATAAAAAGCATGGGCGATATGATTAGCTAGACATAGGATCTCAACCAAGATAGAAGCCAAAATAAGTGCAATTCTTCTATAAAATACCAAGAAAATTACCTCCAATAAGGAGACGAACACACAAGTCAGAGGTCGGGATCCTTTGGAAGAGATGGAAAAATATTCTAAAAGTGAGACTAATAAGAAATGAATGACACGCTAAAGAAAGAATGATCCCACTCTTTCTTCTCTCCCAACTTACATCACAAACAACTCACGGTGATCTTGATCTCATATCAAACGGAAGTCATATTTACTTCCCGATTAAGCTCATTTTATAGTGTATGTCTTACTTGAGCGTCGTAAAGTCGTAAAGTGTTCGGCGAAAATCTTTTGTCGTCCTCTGAAGACCTTCATACAAATGTTATTAGTGTAGGTACTACTCCATCCACAAATTATATTGATACAACTAAATCATATTTGGTTTCGTTATTTTAGTTTCAGTTATTAATATAGTATTAAGTAATAACTCTGTGAGTAAGTGAAAAGTAAAATTTGATATAAATTACTTATTTGATGTAAAATGTTAAATAATCCATTGCAAAAGTTTAAACTTTACAACGAATTATTTAACTTTTTACAGTATGGTTACCTAAAAAACAAAAAAATTCAAAAAAGTTTGTAAGAGCTTTACTAATACAATATGTGAATAAAAAATGTAGTTAACGCTCAAATATTCTGAACTATACGAGAAGGTGTACGTATAGAATGTTCTTCTCATAATATTTAACCAAAGAGGTACAAGAGTATCTATAGTTACAAGAAAGATTCGAGGT